TTTTTGGTTTTTCTCCGGTACCGGGAACCGAACTCACGACCTTGCACTTGCCAGGCAGGCACTTTGCCGCTGAGCTAAATCCCCAGCCCCTACTTTTTGGTTTTTTGAGACAGGATCTGGCCCTGTAATTCAGGCTGGCTTTGAACTCACTATGTAGCCCAGACTGGCCTCAAACTTGCAGCAATCCTCCTGCCTCAGCCTCCTGAATTCTGGGAGTACAGGCATGTGGCACCACGTCTGGCATAGATAAAATTTTTGAATTTTTTTTGTTTTGTTTTGTTTTTTTGAGACAAGGTCTCGCCATGCAGTTCAGGCTGGCCTAGAGCTCTTTGTAGCCTAGGCTGTCCTCGAACTTGCAACGATCCTCCTTCCTCAGCCTCCCACGTGCTGAGATTATAGGCATGTATCTTTGTGCCCAGCAAAATTTTAAAAAAATTTTTAGTACAGGGACTCGAACTCAGAACCTCCCTCTTGCCAGGCAGGCACTGTGCTGCTGAGGTAAATCCCCGGCAGATCAAATTTTTAAAAAGATGCATTTACCTTGACATAAAGTAAAGAGTTTCAGAAAAATTTTAGTGCCTTAAACTATCATGTGTTTTTCTGTAATAAAATCTTTTTTTCTAAAGAAATAGCTGAATATGTTGCTCTGCTCCTGGCATCCAGCAGGGGGCAGAAATAATCCAAAACACAAAATTTTGATTTTCCACTTTCTTCCCGAGTCTCTTAGAAGTTCCCTTCCTTGCAGGGCGTGGCTGCGCACGCCTGTAATCCCAGCACTCAGGAGGCTGAGGCAGGAGGATCGTTGCAAGTTCGAACCTAGCCTGGGCTACAAAGTGAACTCAAGGCCCGTCAGAACTGCAGAGTGAAACCCTGTCTTAAAAAAGACCAAAAAAAAAAAAAAAAAAAAAAAAAAGTTCCCTTCTTAAAGGTTTTGAAACAGCTTCACTGAAAACGAGACTGTAATTTCCACATTGCAGCGTTCGTGGATATTAATTTTGCATACTTCCAATCCAGTTTATTCCTGCTTGGGCTGATGACTTCACATGCAGTTTTTGTGAAGCTTCACAAGCAGCCTCTTGATTGTAACTGTTTTTCCTTATGCTGGAAGAAAGACTGTGGAAAAACAAATGATCCCCCATTTCATGAAATTCCAAAGAATAAGGGAACTGTGGCAAGCACCAAAATAACTGCTCTGTGTAACTTTCCAGGGGAAAAGCATTTCTTGTGCTGAAGTCAGGGGAACAACCGCGATTTGCAGCCAGAGAATGCATGAGGCTTCCCAGAGGGGTGTGGGAAGCGTTCGGGGGCCTCTCCTTCTACACAGTGAACTACTTCATCATGATCATCATCATCAAGACTGAAAGCCCCGCAACGAGCCTGACAGCTGTAGGCTTGGAGACCTGAGAATGCGAGAAGCACCGTGCTTAGCGCCCTTGGACATGCGTGGCTTCTTTTGCCACCTTTATACGAGCAGCTTCCCAAAGCGGTGGAGGGGGAGCTGGTGTCTAACAGTCCTAAACGAAAAGGTAACTGAAAGTGATGGAAATTCAGGCACAGTTCCCTTAAAGAACACTTCTAACCTGAGAACAGGGGGCGAGAGGCAGTCTCATCAGAAGGACCTGCGCAGGGAGCAGTCCCTTCAGAAGGTTTCCTGCAAATCCAATCCCTGCAATCAATCAACCCTGGGAGGGAGGAGTTAGGGCCTCGCAGTAGTCACGTGCCTTTGAGGAGAGAGCCAGAGCCGCGCAGGGCGCATGCCCGGTCGCGCTCTGGAACCGGAACTCACTTTCCCCAGGGCAGCCAGAAGGTCTTCACGATTCTACAGCAGCATCTACAACCGCAGTCCCCTTTCGGTCTTCTATAACTACAGTCTTGATTCTTAACAAACCTAATACGTACTACTCTGGCGTCTGCGTTGACAGGCTTGAGAACTCAAGCTGGCACCCAGAGTGATCCTGGCTCCCGCTGAAGGTCTCTAAGATTTGGTGATTGGATCCTTCATTCGGTAACTGTATCTCTTCTTCATTAGCATGAAGGTTTTTTTTTTGTTTGTTTGTTTTGAGACAGGATCTCGCTCTGCAGTTCAGGCTGGCCTTGAGCTCACTTTGTAGCCCAGGCTGGTTTCGAACTCACAATGATCCTCCTGCCTCAACCTCCTGAGTGCTGGCATGACAGGCCTGCGCCACCACGCCTGGCTACTTTTTTTAAATTGAGACAGGTTCTCATAAAGTTACTGGGTCGCTCAGGCTGGGCTCAAACTTGTAATCTTCCTGCCTCAGCCTCCCCACAGTGCTGGGATCACAGGTGTGTCCCACCACACCCAATGAGATTGTTGTATTTATTTATTATTATTATTTTTTGGTACCAGGAATCGAACTCATGACCTTGTGCTTGCCAGGCAGGCGCTTTGCCACTGAGCTATATCCCCAGCCCCTAGATTGCTATATTTAAAATGCTGGCACGAACCATACAGTCCGCCCTGTTCCCAGTGTGTGACTAAACAACCTGAGGGTCTGAGGCTCTTGCTCAGTCCCTGGCCCGATCCACTCTGCAGCCTGGCACGATCCCAGCCCATCCCCGCGCGCCTGCTCAGCCTGAGCGTACACACAGACGGCCGCTCTATCTTGAGTAAAACAGATCGAGGAAAAAAGAACTGATTGGGTAAAACAGCTATACAGAGCCCTAGAAAACGTTTCGAAGCGCATAGAAAGAAACCTAAAATAGCAGATGAGCCAGAAGCCGTCCTGTGAATGAATACGGGAGTGCTAGCTATGTTTTGAAAAGTTATGACATGTTGCTCTAGTGTACATATGATGCCCGTTTTCACTGCTCTGCTCTTTTAGGTTTGCGT